TATATATATATAATTTTCCCCCCTCAAGTATCGGTTAGGGTTGAATAAAGTAATTACAGCTGTAATATCATGTAGTTAAATATCAATTAGAGTTGCTAAGTTCATGGAGATTGGTGGGTATCTGGCCACTTAGTCTAGGGTTATATTCACTTCCTGCTCCATCTCTGCTGCAACAAATAAATAGATTGTTCCTTGTAAAGTGGAGCATGTTGACCAGAAGAGCATGCAAGCTCATCTGTGCTGTGTTGACTGGCCAAGGGATTAGGTCATTATCTGGGGAGTTAACAAGTCTGAATTCAAAGAGTCTCAAGGAGAACGGTAAGAGCCAGGCCCTTGACAGGTTGCGACTGAGCTATTCTTGAGCATGTCCAAAGGCAAAACATAGATCCCTGCACACCTTCTGCATGGAAACAGGGGCTGAGGGCTTCGCGCGCCTCACCTTCACGCCTTAGCGTTGGACAGCAGCCGAACAGAGTTTTGAGGATCTGTATTTGATGAGTATGGGTCTGCCATGTTACCTTGGACTGTTTCTATCCTAGTGAGCTAAACAGAGCATGAGGTGAACAGCTGTTGAATTTTTAACCCAGTTTTGGCCTGGTTAGTGGAACACTTCTAGGTGTGTTGTAGGGGATGCCTCAGATCAGGAGTTACTTCCAGTAGGTAGTATGGGTAAGGCCAGTCAGAAGTGGTTTCAGAAGCAAGGACAGTTCAGGTTTCAGTCAGCCTGTGTTGCATACCACAGACATAAAAAAGAGTGGAGAGAGAAAAAGGAAAAGGAAAAAGAAGACAATAATTTTCATTGTGGGTGGGTTTTTTTCGCCTGTGTGAGATGCTGGTTTGGAGACTTCCAGACTTGTTTGAACTTACAAAAATTTTTCAAGTTGCTTTCTTCATAGGTGACACTTAACACAATTTTAAAGAGGGCTTTGAGAAGAATTTTTATGAGGAGCTCAGGAAGTGTGGGGGTGCTGCATGATGACTTAACAAAATGGGTGAGATGCTGTTCAAAGAGAAATGCTCACTGAGACCGGTTCACAAAGTGGACCTGTATTGGCTCTTACTCTGCTGGCATGGCAGATGTCATCACTGATGCATGCAGAGGTTAGAAAAATACTGGCATCTTCCAAACATAAAAGAATGATGCCTTTAGGAGGAGAAATATTCCATTTCCTTAGACATTTTCTCATGACCTGCGATAGAGGCTGGTCCAAACTCATTGCTTATTTAACTGCAGCTCATTTAATTGATTCAAACAGGGTTATGATCAAGAATACTTGTGGTCCTTCATAACTGATTGTAATTAGGTACATTAATAAAAACCAGGAAATGAGGATCTTGATATTCTCGTTGCCTGAAATAACTTTTTCGGTGTTACTAGGCTGGCAAATATGTTTAGCCAGTACCCAGTTTGGGTTGACAGAAGATGATGAGTAATAAAGATAAAGTCTACTGGCTACAGAGCCAAACTGGGGTTCAAAAGAACATTTAAGACTGCACTTAAATGCATTGCTGAATCAGGGTGGATCTAATTATGTAATTAAAATAAGCACACTCCTTTGTGCTTTCCTGAAGCTGAGTTTTGCTTAGGCATTTTGGATTTTGCTGAATCTCAGTGTTTAATACAACTAAAAGTGAGTATCATTTGAATCTTAAAACTGTAATGTTGGCTATACTAACAGATGCCAATAGACCCTGATACTAACTTTCAATATGTGTAGTGATTCTTGAAAGTCAGATAATTGACCTAGAACAGACACATATTTTTAGAAACCCTTAATATTTAAGCTGGAAAATACTGTGCCGTAAAAGATGTAAAGAGACAGAATCACCAAATAAAGAGGGTCTCTCTGCATTATCACTTCTACTTAAAATCTGTGCTAATAAATATTCATCAACACACCAGAAGTGTTGTCAGGGTTTTCTCAATGTGTATTGATAGTGGGAGGGGGAAGGAAAAAGAATGTAACTTCCATTTGCATACAGGATAGTGCTGCATTAATGGCACTTTGACTACCCTGCTGTGAGCTAAGGTGTGTGTAGCAAAGTGCAGTGCGGTTCTGGCTCAGATGCTGCAATCGGTTCAAGTGTAGCGTGCTCTGCTCTGAGGCTGAGGTTTGGCACACCTAATTAGCAGCACTGCTCGAACCACTGCTGCACTGCTTCTCTTTCTAAATCTACCTTGTTTCAAGCCAAGCCAGGTACCTCGGCTGCTTTGTACAGTGCACCCATGACTTGGCAGCTCCCTGCATGCAGTTGAAAATCTTCCCTGAACAGGCTTTGATGCAGGCCCCGAGATACTTATCTGACCTATTGCATTGTTCTTACACCTGAACACGGCAAACATTGCTGATACAGTGTAACCTACAGGGGGAAAATGAGCGCTGGGATAAGTTTGGTTTTGTTCTTTCCTCAGCCATCCGCTACGACGGAGTTAATGTATTTGGCTACACGGTCTGGTCCCTCTTGGACGGCTTTGAATGGCACAGGGGATACAGCATTCGACGTGGTTTGTTTTATGTTGATTTTCAAAGCCATGACAAGAAGTTGATGCCCAAATCTTCTGTCTTGTTCTATCAAAAGCTGATAGAAAAAAATGGCTTCCCACCTTTGCCTGAAAACCAGCCCATAGAAGGTATTTTTCCCTGTGGCTTTGCTTGGGGAATTGTTGACAACTACATTCAGGTGAGTCTGATGATAAAGCCGACATGCTGCTCAGCTAGATCAGTGCATCATATTGATAAATTTGCTGGATAGAGTGTCTTTGCTGGTACATTATTACCACAGTGCTGCAAGAAGATGGTACAAGGCTTTTGTGCCAAACACTGTGTAATTCAGTCTTTACTAGACTTTCTGTGTGTGACCAATGAGATCCAGTCAGATTGAAAAACATGCGGAAATTGAAAGGGGTCTGATGCTCATCTTCCCTGGGTGTGTTACGTGATCGGTAACTGGAAGTCAGTCCTGTTCAAATGGAAGTTGATTAGATCTTCTAAAGTGCATTTCCAAGTCTATGAAATAGGAAATATTACTGCATTTTCATGTCCATAATTTTAATGGTAATGTATTTGTCTGCTGTGATAATAGATCTTTTAGGAAATGTCATGAAAGCTCTTATAAACTCCAGTGGCATGCTTCTACATCTTATGCATGTATATCCTGGTACCATTGTTAGAGTGATTTTATATATAGAAAAAAATAAGTAAACAACATTAGATTTAGATGAAATTTCTGTATTCCTTCTTTGTCATTTTGTGCAGTACTGTGGCTTGACGGAGGCCTGCAGTGCCCCTGGATAGCACCTAGCTAGGTTATGGATCCAGTTCATAGCTGTCACTCTTTATTTCAACTAAATCCGATACTTTGGGAGACCTTCAAATTTGAAGACTTCATAGTATGAGTACAAGTAGTAGCTTAGTTGTGGTCTATTTACCAGTTTGGCTCTGTAATTCTCAGATGCTGTTTTGGCTTGCAGGACTTCTCTAACCACAGTAAAGAGGTGCAGTTAAATTCAACACAGAGGCTTGATCCAAGAACAGAATTTTTAATTTAGATTTCCCACAAAAACAGAATCTTTCTTAAGGCTAGAGTACAGGAGGCTTGTTTGTATCTTCTCACTCTGAAAGTGAGATCTGACTTTGTTCTCTTGAAAAATACTTCGGCCTCCTTACCTGGTACACTGATTTCCAAGAAAATTCAGCAGTCATTATCCTTGCAGCTCCCAGACAGATTAGGGATTGGAAATGGAATTGCTGCCTTTGGGATCAATAACAACTATAAAGTTGTTAGTGTGAAGTCAGTCAGCCTAAGACAATTAAAAAAATCCCTCCCATCCCCAAAAACTTTAGAGCTGAATATTTTCATTTCAAAAGGCCATTCAAACATTTTGTGCTGTAAGGCTTAGGTAGTGTGATTTGTAGATGCATCACAGTGGAAAAACTCTTTTGACAGCATTCCCACAGTATTAGTGGCAATGCATGCTTTAGCGATCTACAAGGGACAATTCTCCAGAAAAGCAATTTCCCTCAGACACGCTGGTTTTTATTACTTTCTTCTATAAGCACAGTACTGACCTCTCCGGAGAAAATAGCAACTGGTTTTCAGCAGCTTCTTTATACAGTCTGCAAAGCCTCAGCTACAAGTTGAACACTGGTTGAAGGCTGACACCTGCTTTTCAAACAGAGGGCAGGACAAGGAAATCTGAACTTGGGGGGAAACCGTGTACCAAAAGGTGGGGGAAGGAAAAAGGGGCAAATAAACATCTGTGGTACCAGTATCTTGTAGTTTGAATCTTTCCTTTAAGAGTTAATCTAGAGTATGAACTAGGAGATTTTACACTGTGCATTATTTTAACTAGTTCACTTTTTCATTTTCTAGTCCTTATTCTGTTTGTGATACTCATTAAAAAGTGAAAGTACAATTTGTGGGACCCTGAAAAGCTCATCTTCTATTGTGTCAGTATGTCATACAGGCAATTCTGACATGAAGCCCTAAGGACTTACGGGAAATGCATTTATTGTTGGAGTGACATGTAGTGGGTTTACTCGGACACCTGAAAACAAGTTATTCAGACATAACAGCCCTCTGAAATAACTTGGAAATGAGTTCAGTATGAGTTAAATAAAAAAGGATGTTTTTAGCAAGAAGGAAAAATTTTGCTTGTTAACTGAATTTGTGCTAAAAATCAAGTGCAGAGCATTACTCATCTTTCATCATAGGAAAAGAGCACAGAACTGATGTTGCATTCATTATTTCTTTTACTGCATTCAGGGAGTGGTCTTGAAACTGAATCTACTGGGTAATTTACAACAGACAGGTTCTCTGTAGGCCCTTCTTAATCTTGACAGAAAAAACATTTTAAAAATTACTGTAGTCTTTGCTGAAGCTCTCCTCCTCTGGAGATCTGTCACAGGCTTAGTGCCTTATCCCTCAGCAATCCCTTGTTTCCCATATAGACTGGAGCAATCTGGAGAAGATAAAAACATGGTGACAGTCAGGATGAGCATGTTCAGAAAGTAGAATGAAAATTGTATATAGATTTGGTACTTTTCTGATGTGACATGTGAACAGAAAGTTAATTCATTCATGTGAGCCTGATGCCATTAGAGATGCCAGAGGTGCTAAATGCAATGTTTTGACTCCATATATTTAGCTACATTGTGCCTGATAGTTATGAAGTACCCACCTGCCTAGAACAAACAGCTTGAATCTGGTATGTTTCTTATTCTACATAGGTAGACACGACACCCTCCCAGTTTCTTGACTCTAATGTTTATGTATGGGATGTTCACCAGACGAAGAAGCTTATTAAACTGGATGGAGTTTTCACCTCGAAACGCAAGCGTCAGTGTGTTGACTTTGCTGCTATCAGGCGCCAGATCTCTCTTCTGCAAGAAATGCATGTCACACACTTCCATTTTTCACTGAAATGGTCTTTAATCCTTCCTTTAGGTAACCTTTCGCTAATCAACCACACACTTGTACATTATTATCAGTGTTTTGCTACTGAACTTCTCAGAGTTAACATAACTCCTGTTGTTGCTTTATGGCAACCCATGGCTGAGAATCAAGAGCTTCCAGTTTCCCTTGCCAAATACGGAGCTTGGGAAAATGCAGAAACTGTTCAGGCTTTTGTTGAGTATGCCAAATTCTGCTTTACAAGTCTTGGGGACCATGTCAAATTTTGGATCACAATGAATGAACCGCCTGTGAAAAACTTGACATACACCGCAGGGCACAACCTCTTGAAAGCCCATGCAAAAGCATGGCATCTTTATGACAAAGAATTCAGGAGGTCTCAGAAAGGCAAGATATCTATAGCTCTGCAAGCCGACTGGGTAGAACCAGCTTGTCCATTTTCCAGGAATGACCAAGAAGTTGCTGACAGAATTTTAGAGTTCGACATTGGCTGGCTTGCAGAGCCCATCTTTGGGAATGGTGACTACCCACAGGTGATGAGAGCATGGCTTCACCGAAGAAACGGTGTTGACTTGTATAATTTCCACTTGCCTTATTTCTCAGAAGATGAAAAGAAGTTAATCAAGGACTCGTTTGATTTTTTTGCTTTGAGTCACTACACTACTACTCTTGTGGGCTGGGAGAAAGAAGATGCAGTAAAATATGACCACTATCTTGAAGTTCAAATGATCAATGACATCACATGGCTGCACTCCCCCAGCAGAACTGCAGTAGTGCCCTGGGGACTGCGTAAATTGCTCAAGTGGGTTAAATCAAAGTATGGCGATGTCCCAACTTATGTTCTGGCTAATGGAATTGACGATGACCAGAATATGGTGCATGATAAGCTCAGAGTATATTATATACAGAATTACATCAATGAAGCTTTAAAAGGTAAGGAATCAGTGGTGGTTTATATGTCACAAATCCCGGTATTAGTATACACTGTGTGGTAAAGTATGTTTAACTTTAAAAAAATAAATCCTATATAGAATACTCTATAAATGAGATGTTATTACAGCATAACAGGTTTTCATTTGACTAATGATTTATTGGTGTTACTAAACATCAGGAAGACTGACCTTGTGCATGCTCTGCATAAGACAGCAGTAGAATTTTTTGTGCATTACAGAGATTTAAGATTGTTATATGTGTAGCTCCACATGTATTTAGGCATATTTTCTTCTTATTGCACTTCTACTGTTGCTTTGCTTTGTTGCATCTACGCTGATGTGCCTCAGGGCTGGGTTTGAGTTCTGTTCCTCAGCTGTCTCTGTGTCTTATCCAACAGTGATCTTATCCAACAGTGATCTTTGTAATAATTCAGCTATCTACCTCATTATGCCATTTCCTGGACTCTTTCCTGCTATTCAGAACCCAGATCAGACTTTTTCTCTGTCTCAAAGATTCATACATTATAAGACAAAACAGAGGCTTTTTGAGTCATCTTGTCATAGAACACACACTGGTTTTCAAGAAAAGCACAAGACCCAGATGAGAAAATCTTTACTGATGTAGAATCTTCTACACCTCACTATAAGCTGCTGCATTGTGCAATTACTGTTTTTATATATGTGTGTGCATAAATACGTATAAATCTTACTTACAGTATTTCTTTAGCTGTAGCTTTAAGCCATTTTGTTGTGCATTTCTATGTATCTTACTTATGCAGGTATTCAGACAGAAACCAAGCCATCTCTCACGTCTTTGATAAATAACACAGTCAAAGCTCTTTGTGTCCCTTACTGTAAAACATCATTTAGAACCTTTTATTATTAAACTTTCGCATTTGCCAGCATTCTTCTTGAGAGGAGTAAACCCAGACCTGAACACATTGCTTCTACAACTGCCACACCTATATCTCAGGCAGGTATAATGTAGCCTCTTACTCTTTTACTCCGCTTTTGTACATCTGAGCAGCATATTAGCCCTTTTGGCCATGGCAGCAGGTTGGTTACACATGCTCTGTGGTTATCTATTGAGATTTCAAACTCAGTTACAGATTCCTGCCCCTCAGGCAGAATATGCTCTGCCAAAGTATGGCCTGCTTGTTCTTTGACATCCTCACATTTGGTCGTGCTCAAATGCCAGTTGCTTGCTTATGCAAAGCTTGCTACATTAGCTAATTTATGTCCCTAATCTTTGTGTTATTTGCAAACTTTGTGAGAAATAGTTTTACTTTTCTTTCTGGTTGTTGATATATTTAAGATCATTTAATATCTTAGTGCTAAAAGCCAATCTCCATGACCATGGTAGAAACATACCTACTGTGAGACTTACCTTAAATTACATTCCTAAACTTATTAGTTCTACTTGAGAGCATTTGAAACCTGTTTATTAGGGACTCCTCTTGACCTCATAACATTATATTTTCTTGATCCAAATGCCATATAATACCAAATCAGTTGCCTTGTGAAGTTCTAAGTATATTACATCAAACATCATTACCTTTATTGATCTGTGGATCTCATAAAAAAGATGTCAAGTTCATTTGACAGGATTTATTTTTCATAAAGATAAACTTATTGGCATTAACCATATATATCTCCTTTAATTCTTCTTTATCAAGCCTTACATAATCTGTTCAACTCTTCTGCTAGTAGTGAAGGATGGCTGGCAGTTCCATGGTTTGCTAGGTCATCCTGTCCACTCTGTCAAGTATTGGCTTTAATGTCCTCCTCTGTGATTTCCACCTCTTTTACAGGTTACTGAACATCAATATTAAGTGCCCAAGAGTTCCTTTTCCAGCATTTTGAAGCACTGGCTGCATGTTTTCTGTATCTGTAGTTAAAAAAAAAAACATATCCTGGCTATATTTGAGCATATGGTTTCGATCTTTTTTTACTGTGTGGCTTCTCTCTGTCCTACCACTTTAGGCTGTACCAGTTCTTGGCACTTCTGTTTTCAAAGTGTGTATGGATATGGGGTTTTCTCCCAGTTCCTGTTATCCTGAACACCTGCACATAGAATAGTCTTGTTGAACTTCATGAGGTTCATATGGGCCCACCTCTGCAGCCTGTCAAGGTCCCTGTCGTGGTTTAACCCCAGCTGGCAACTAAGTACCATGCAACCTCTCACTCACTGGCCTCCTGTCCCAGGTGAGATGGGGAGAAGAATTGGAAAAACGTAAAAATTGCAACCAGGACAGTCCCTCTGGATGGCATCCCTTTCCCTCCAGCATGTCGACTGCACCACACAGCTTGGTGTCTTCAGCAAACTTGCTGAGAGTGCATTCAATCCCACTGTCCATGTTGCCGTCAAAGATGTTAAACAGGTCCTAATATTGACCCCTGAGAACACCACTCATCACTGGTCTCCACTTAGACATCAAGCCATTGACTGCAGCTCTTTGAGTGTGACCATTCAGCCAATTCCCTACCCACCGAGTGGACCATCCTCTATTTTTTACATACCCTTGTTTTTTACATAACTTTGTGGTTCATATTCATCTGGTACCAGTATCCCCCAAACACTTCCTTTTCCTCCCTTCTATCCAGCCTGAAAATAGCTCTCATGTTTTTTGACTTAGCCATCACATGCAAGCCACATTTTACCATCTTTCTACCTTCTTTGTCATGGATGACTATGTTGCTGCTAAATAGGGCCATACTAATTTCTCTAAAGCCCTCTCTCCCATTTTTGACATTATACACTCTTCTGTAGTGTTTGGTCCATCACTAATACCATTGTGTTTTCTACTCCTTCTCTGGTACAGTGCTTTTGTCCATCTTGTCCTTACACAAGGAGCAAGCTCTTAACCTTGCCATTATGACTGATGTTTCTCCAAAACTTGCTTTTTTTCTGCAAGACCCTGTGCAGTAACTGAGATGAGAGGGGATTTGGAACTTGTGTGCTCTCACCTTAAAGTTCCTATTCTGCCTTCTTCCAGCTGGTTTCTGGGACTGCTTGTGGCAGCATTTGTGCATGTAATGTTGCTCACCTGCATTGTTCCAGGGGATCTGACAGGTTTCTGCAGATAACTGATTCCAGAATACAATACAAACCCTTTGGACTGAGGCTATATTTTTGTTTGTGCAGTAAGTGCTTTGTATACTGTTTAAATACGTCTTTGCCAATTGAAAACAAAGAACAGCAGTAACCATTTATGTAACACCATTAAATCCACATGCAGTTTTACAAGCACAAACTAATTATCCTGGGTAGCAGCTCTGTAAAAGGGCAGGTAAATATTATTTCATTTTACACATGAAAAGTAGGCTGGAGGTGCTAAATGTCTTGCATGTGACTGCAGAAAGAATTATTTCCAGAGGCATATGAAAACTCAGCAACTCTTAGTTCTCAATCCTGTGTTCATCTGCTACAAGACATCGCTTCAATTTGTTAAAAAGAGCGATTTTGAGAGATAAAATATTACAGTTTGCGTTTACTACTGTGGATTGATTGGTTTTGTCAAGCGGGACTGATGGCTCAAGGTTAATGCTGCTGGACCTCTTCCAGTAGCCGAGTTAGCAGTATGGATTGTGGACATGTTCTCAGTAAAGACTGATACAGGTCATCTTGGATCAGAAACTCAGGTCAATAACAAGAGAGGACTCTGATTTGCATAGCCTTTCCATTTGCACTGTTGATGTCCCCATACATGACCTTAGCATGGCACCATCTTTTCCTGGTGTCACTGTGCCTTGGCTCATGAGAAGTGCAGCCTGCTGTCCTCTGTGTCTTGGCTGTCAGGAGGTGCTTTGCAAGGGAGATGGATCAATTGGAGAAATAGGTTGCAGAAATCCAGGTGCAGGAAAACCAAAACCTATTTTCTTTCGTGTATAAAAAAGAGCTATTTTTTCATGATAGGCTCCATGCTAATCGTTAAACACAGTCATGCACTCACAGCTGTGTTTACCAAGCACAAGGAAATAGATTGCAGGATACTCACAGATCACACTGTCTGGCAGTGGCTGACAGATTTTTACTTTTTATGAGAAACACTTCATAGATGTACATGTACTTCACCTTATTTTGGGGAAGAGAAGTGCAGATGTGGGTTTAACATCCCCCTGCCTCTGCATTGTGTATTGACATGTGGTGCTGCTTTTGAATGCCAAAGTGATATTTATTCATTTCTTCAACTCTTTATTTTCTTTCGCAGCTTACACTTTGGATAACGTTAATCTGCAAGGATATTTTGTCTATTCTTTTAATGACAAGACTGCTCCTAAATACGGTCTCTACAGTTACGTTGCAGATCAATACGAACCAAAGCCTTCTATGAAACATTACAGGGAAATAATTGACAATAACGGCTTTCCTGGTCCTGAAACTCCTGAGGTGCTGTGCCCAGAGGAGATTGCCTCATGTCCCGAATGCCATTTCTTCCGAACCAGAAAATCATTATTAGCCTTTATCTCTTTCATATTTGCTGCTTTTATTTTTACTATATTCTTCATTCTTTACTACTCCAAGAGGATAGAAAGAAGGTATAAATAGAGCTGCCCCTTTGAATACGTCACTTGCTGCCCTTCCTCATGCATTTCCTTGGGAAATCTGAAATAAGAGCACACAAGGTTGTCATTTCTTCAGCACTAGGAAGACATTTACATTGCCTGATACTGCAGGACATTGATGCTGATAAGAAATTGCTAGGTTATGGCTTCCAGAAATCATTTTGTCTGGTTTAGTACATTTGGTTTATGACCACTCCATAATTCCTGTGATTGGAGTTCTCTCACAACTTTCCCTGGGACCTGTTGTTGATGCTTTTCCCTCCTTGGTTTTGCCTCACTGAGTTGTACAAGTGAAAGCATGGTTTGAAGACATGGAGTGATGGAAGACCTAAATGTTAAATTCTCCAAGAGAAAACTGAGGAGAAACAAAATGGCTTACTTTTCCAAGTTAGGGTTTAATGCTGATGTTGCTTGATCAGAGCCAGAACCTGACTGGAGCAGGGATTGTAGCTGAGCAGAGATGGAGGAGAAATGCACAAAGCAGTGCTGGGGGAAAGGAAGCTCCCTTTCCTAAAGCAGATGCAGGGGGAAGAACAGGGGGACACAAGTCTATGCTTCTGGGAGCACTGGGTACATAAGTTAACTACTACTTAGGTTGCTGACAGCTGCATCTGACTTCAGGATGTCATTGGGGAGCTTTAGCTAAAGGAACTGTGTCTTTCTCAGTGGGGAAAGCAGCAGGGGTATGTCCAGGGATGGCAGGGGTCAAGCTATCTGATGGGAGGAGATGGAAGAGGCGAAAGGGCTTCTCTTTGATTTGCTCAGAAAAAAGCAGAGAGCAGGCTCTGGGATGTGTTTACTGTCTCAGTTGTCAGGAATCTGTGTGCCTGACTCTGCACTCTATTGCCCTGTGTACATAGACATGGCAGGGCTGGAACATCCCGTCACTGCACTTCTTGCAGCAAGTTGCACGCTGCTGCCACTCCACTGCTACCCACCTATTTACCTGCTGGAAACTTGTGGGTAATTTAGTAAGATGGTCTCTGTGTGCCATTTACGTTGAGCGTGGAGACTTTAAATCCCACCATTTTGGTGTAATAATCCAGCACTTTATTGCTGCTTTTGCTAGGGTCTGAGATCCTGGAGGTGTTGCTCCAAGCCTCTTACAGGTTGGCTGGAGGGTCTCTGTGAGTAACTGGATCTGCCTCTGGCAGCGTTTCATCCCAGAGTATTACTGAACATCTGAAGGCCTTTCATTTTTCTCTCAGCAAGACAAATTAGCAAAATATCAACAACATTGTTTATTAGTAGGAATAGAGAGGGAATGGAAAAAATCACTACATTAGGAGTGTCCTCTGTGTAAAGCAGTGAAGTCATTTTCATCCGCTCTCACACTGTAGGCCTGCATTGCCTTCAGCTGTAATTGTATTTTTATTGCTATGTGAATAATGTTGCTCACTGGAAAGAATATTTTAAAGGAAATGTGCTTTGTGTTAATTAAGAATTATTTATCTACTAAAGCTGATTGTGCTGCATTAAATGTGATGTTTATCTTCTAGATGACTAGTAGATGTCTAAGTGACCTCTCAGGGTTCCTTTCAACCTGAATACTCTATGAATCTGTGATTCTATATTGTAAGTTAAAACATATGAAATGTGATTTTCATTTGTAATTGAAGGTTATATTTTTTTCTTAAATGTTCTATATGAATAGAAAAGAGTATCTTATCGTAATGATTAATATATTTGTTCTCTAGTTCCAGTCTTAGAATTGTCTCTCTTTTCACTAATGTGTATTTTGGTATTGAGATTAAGGTGCAAAATTCAGGGTAAGTAAGTGATGAGGTATTAAAAATATATATTAAAATTATTTATTGCCTAATACAACATGCTGAAGAAGAGAAAAATTAAAACTGCTGTATATTTATGCATTGGTGCCAGGCACAGTGTGGATTACAAAGAAATAGCTCTCCCTAAAGGTGTGAAATGCTAAATGGCTTTCCCCATGGCATGGCAATGAATCACCTTAGAACCATAGAATCATAGAATGGTTTGTGTTGGAAAGGACCTTAATATCATCTAGTTCCAACCCCCCTGCCATGAACAGGGACACCACACACCTTGCAAAACATGACTCCAGTAGTCAGAAGCCTTCACAGTACGTAACAAAAAGTGGCATTCATTTCATACAGACAGTAGCTAGGTCATACCTAACTTGTATGTTATATGTGTGTGTATATATGTTACAATTATTTTGCTGTTGGTAGAGCAAAAAGACTCCGGACCTGATCTTTCTTTTTTTGACAGGGGTTCAGGGAGCCTTGTCAGGGCAAATCCAGATGAGTGTAGGTGCCATGCTGATGGGCACCAGCCTGTCCTGACCCTTCACTAGCAATTAACCATCCAGTGAGCTGCTGCCATGTGCTCTTTAATGGCCCGGCCACAAAGCAATGTGTGAAACAGCAGTCGGAGCATAAAGGAGACACTGCAGGCTCTTCCTGTGGAGGCTGGGTGATATGTAACCACCGACAGGCAGATGGCACCAGCTGGATATCTAATTTGTAGGTAAATTGGGATTTGTTGCTATGAAGCTATATGATCGCATCCATTCATGGTGCTGTGGCCCATAGAAGTAACGCAGCCTTTGGCACAGTTACCTTCAGAAGAGTTTTAAAGTATCACTGCAGAGCAGCGACCAGCTCGAGCTGGGCACAGTAGTTGCCAAAGTCCTCCTAAGCAGTGCTGCTTGTGCACAGTGATGTGCAGCTCTCAGAGACTAAACTGCACAGTGATGGGCCAGGGAAAACAGAGGCTAGTCTGATGGAGGTAATGGTATGGTTTTGCCTTGGGAATCTTCTTCATTTTATGTAATCAGGGGCCAGCGTCTTGTCAATCTTCTTGAAGAAAAATCATGCTCCACTAACAGCAAAAAAGCCCGTGAATAGGCAAAGATGAGGTACCTGTCCAAGGAGAATGGTGGTGTGCTCATGCAAACTGGTGCAGTAATCACGTCTTGCAATCAGGCTGTGGGATGTGGGGCACTTCTTCCATTCGATACCCACATGTGAGCAATGATCTCGCACTTCCCCATCACCATCTGTGCATCTAGAGCAGAAATGCCGACAGTAGCAAGGACTTTGAGCAGAGGCCACTCCATAGTCAGGCTACAGAGACAGTTCAGGGGAGGATGGTGGTTTATTTTCTGAAGAGCAGCCAGTCTGTGTGTGATGGATGTTAACGTGTAATATCTTATGTAGACTAGTTTCTTGATTTTAACTGTGTTTCTAGAATGAAAAGTCGTTGTCAGTTTGCTCAGTACTTCAGATCAAACATGTTGTAAAAGAAGAAATTGTATTTTTATTCAAAATATTTTTGACATGAGTGCAAAGCTTCTGGTTTATTTCTTGAAAATATTGTGCAGAGTTTCTGTGGGAAGGATGTGTTTGCTAAATGAAAGAATGAATGTTATATTGCTTTTATAACAAACTCAGAAAGGAAATAAAGATATTGTATGCAACAAATTGTGACACAATCTTACTTTAATCTGTCCAATTTCTCTGTCTGCAACATGAAGTACAGAGTACCTCAGGAGAGGCTTTTATAATAACTCTGCAAGAAGTTTGTGTTGCTGTTTGTTTTTCCACTGCTGCATAAATCATAAATAACTGCAACTTTTGTTGGAGATTACTGGGGCCTGTGTCTAAACAAAGGTTTTTCCAGAAGACCTAGGGCTTTGCAGGGGTTTTGGTTCTTTGATTTTTTGTTGTTTGCTTTTTGGTTTTTTTTGTGACTGTTGCTATTTAAAAACCTGTGGAAGAAACCAATATAACTAGCACGCTATCCTATCCTATCCTATCCTATCCTATCCTATCCTATCCTATCCTATCCTATCCTATCCTGTCCTGTCCTGTCCTGTCCTACCCGGTCCTATCCACCACATCCCTAACCTGGGATGTATAATGTACTCCTCACTGATTTTTTATGGCACCAGTCCTTCCAGGGAAGGCATGGGCCTGACCTGGGCAGCACCTTCTCAGTCCTCAGGAGCCAGAGGAGCCTCCCAGCCAGAGCTTCCCCCCAGCACTGTGCCTTGCTGGGGTGCATATCCAAGCTGGAGCAGTGCTGAGCCCCAGGCACTTCTGGAGCAGGACATGCAGCAGGGCTCGGAAGAAAAGCAGAACCAATGGCATGTTCTGGTGGGATGCTGGCTGAAAAGGTGGCTTGGCTCTCAGCAGTGAGCTGGCTGTTGTATTGCCGCCTTCTGTGCTCAGGGCTCTGTAACAGGCTTTGGGCAGGGTTGTAAACCAGCAGGGCTGCACAAACACAACACCTGAACCAAGAAATGTAGTTTTCCTCCTTCCGGAGGGAACCGTGAGTTGGCCGAGTGTTTCATTCAAGACTGTAACAATGTGAACTACCTGCGCTGTAAAGTTTTATGGGGTGACAAAGTTTGTAGCCTGGCAATAGTGTAGTCGAGCTGGAGGCCATCAGATGCCCTGCCAGGAAAGGTAGGGGAGCAAGCTGGTGAGGAGGGCTTCCTGGCTGCACCCTCTCTGGTCAGCCCAGAGGGTGTTCAGAGGGGTGCCAGGCTGCTGCTCCTCCAGCCTGGGACAGACATGATCCAGAGGTTTAGTGCTGCAGGAAGAATGGAGCAGGGCCAGCTCCCGCTCTCTCACCACCACCTCCTCCCTCTTTGCACATGCCTTTATTTACATTTGGGCTATGAAATGGGGAGCTAAATACCAAGGTGTGACATAAGTATGCCAGGACACATAGTTTATTTAGAAGACAAAATACTGTTTACAAGCCTTACAGATTTTTTGTTGATAGTTACTACTTTCCATCAAACACTGTTGCCTCCCTCTCTCCACTAGGATCAAATGGGTCTTATTTCAAAAAGCGGAGAAATGCTCATAAAGTAAGCTGCTAGTATTGCAGTTGTCTCTCACAGTACTAGATGAGCCTTTAAGTCCACTTCTGATGGAAGGCTGTGAATTTTACACACATTTGTAAGTCATTTATCTGCCTCATTGCTGCGGGATC